TCCTTGTATCGCAGTTGTAGTCTCCCTCTGGGGCGCTTTCCCTGCACTAATTCTCCATACAGGAGATCCTTTGGAATCCGACTATCAGCCATTCTCACGACGTGCCCAAGCCAACGTAGACGTCGCTGTTTCAGTAATGTATTCATGCTGAAAATTCCAGCTCGTTCTAGGACTGCTCTGTTTGGAACTTTGTCCTGCCAGGTGATACCAAAAATCCGTCGGAGGCACCGCATATGGAAGGTGTTCAGCTTCCTCTCCTGCCGTGCACGAAGGGTCCAGGACTCACTGCAGTACAGGAGTGTGCTTAGAACACAGGCTCTATAAACCTGGATCTTCGTGTGTGTCGACAGCTTCTTATTGAGCCATACTCTCTTTGTGAGTCTAGAGAACATGGTGGCTGCTTTGCCAATGCGTTTATCCAGCTCGACATCTAGAGAGAGGGTGTCAGAGATAGTTGAGCCGAGGTACACAAAGTCATGAACAACCTCCAATTCTTGTGTGGAGATGGTAATAGAAGGAGGTGAGTCCACGCCCTGGCCCATAACTTGTGTTTTCTTCAGGCTGATTGTTAGTCCAAAGTCTTGGCAGGCCTTGCAGAAATGATTCATGAGTTGTTGGAGGGCTTCAGCAGAGTGGGCAACGATGGCTGCATCATCTGCGAAGAGGAAGTCCCGCATGCATTTCAGTTGGACTTTGGTCTTCGCTTTCAATCTAGAGAGATTAAAGAGCTCTCCGTCTGATCTTGGTACTGTGTTTCCCCCCAAAATAAGACAGGGTCTTATATTAATTTTTGCTCCAAAAAACACATTAGGGCTTATTTTCAGGGGATGTTTTAGTTTTTTCATGTACAACAATCTACATTTATTCAAATACAGGCCTGTCATCTTCTTTTGGTTGCTGCACAATGGTGGAGGGAGGAGTTTCACTTAACTAGGACCTATTTTAGGGGTAGGGCTTATATTAAGATCATCCTGAAAAATCATACTAGGGCTTATTTTCAGGTTAGGTCTTATTTTTGGGGAGGCAGGATAGTTTTGCTCCAAACCAACAGAGGACCAATGAGAATCAACACTAAAGGCAATGGATAACTGACGGAATATCTTCAGCTCATTGAGAAAGTCAAATGATTCTATATCCCTTGAAATGTAACTTGATACGGTTGCATTACAAACTGACTCTCAAGCTGACAGTCTCCATTTTGGGACATGGATTAACTACATATCACGCCAATGTTATTTTTGGATTTTGTTTTCTCTTCTGCACTCTTTTAATATATATACTGTATATATATATATATAGCCAGCTTCTAAGGGAATTATATATATATATATAATTCCCTTAGAAGCTGGCTTGCTGGCTGACTATTTCACCACAGTACATGGGTTTTGCTCTTTGCCCTTGTGATACTTGTGGGATGTTGCCTTCCTTGCACTTATCCTATCCATGATCTTTTCTCTCCCTATGAACCAGATGGTATTATTGCTGCACAAAAGTGCATCAATAGATATTGTGTGACAGCCCAATTCAGCATTCCATAAACCAGCATTAAAAATAGGCAAGCTCCAAACAAACAAACAAACAAATAACCTGTGTAACTGGATTTCAGATCAGCACCAAATTTGTAATACATGGAGCAGACAGTGTGCTCTTGCTCTTGGCAACTTTGGCAACATTTGGGAATTTTTTTTTCCAGCAATGATTTTTTTAAAAATAAAGCTTCCCCTCTCCATGCAGACACCAGCAATCTTCTGTGCCATTTTAGAGGCAAAACACCTCTGCGTTTCTGGCTTTGGTATCAGCACAGACATTCTAAATGTAAAACATTCTTGCAAGCTTGGGGGTGGAGAGGGAGAGCTGAAATTTTGACCCTGCCAGGCAGGACAAAATTAAATGACTCCCAGAAGAATGTTTAAATTCTTTACTGGCCAAATGGATATTTTTTAAAAAATTATGTTTCTTGTGTAAAGATATTTTAACACACACACACACACACACACACACACACACACACACACGTGTGTGTATTTCTCATATATGTGTATATATTTCTCATATATATATATTAACACACACACATATGTGTGTGTGTGTGTTAAAATATGTATATATGAGAAATTACTGTTTGTTTTGTTTGGTTTGGTTTTTTTTGTAGCTGGGTATGATCTACCCCAATGCTAGCAAAGCTTGGGTGCCTATTCTACCCATCTTGTCATTATATAATTGTTTTGGTAATTAAAAAAACCTCCCAAGATGCTATGTGCCATCAAGTAAGGCATTTCTGATTTGTGGTGACTATGGACCTGTCCAGACTAGCCATTTTGGGTGTGGGATGGATCAGGTTACAAAGGGTCTGTTGAGATGGGGTGGGTGGAAATGATGTGCCATTTGGCATACTCCTCCCATCCCCACAGCAAATGACGCCTTGTAGCCCCATCAACTATCAGAGGCGTGCTTACCCTGATCCTCTGTGGAGGAAGAGAGTAAGTTGATCCTTTTCTACTGTGTTACAGATCCATTCAAAACAAGGTTTACATGGCTTACTCATGAATACATTTACCCAGCTTACTCACAAGTAAGGAAACAGCAGCTGACGACATTGTGAGGGGAGAAGGTTGGGGAGACAGAAGGGAGGCACTTCCCTCTGTTCTCCCCACCTTTCTCCTCAGCTGGGGCTGCTGCCTTGTGTGGGCAGAGCCCATGAAGTCAACGTACGTAGCTCCCATTCCTGACTTTTCTCTCAGATCTCATTAAGGGTGCTCGGGTGACTTTCCTTTTGTTTGTTTGCTAAAAAGGTAAGTGTCATATTCAAATGGCAATGCATCAACCTTGTTACTGACTTCCAAAATGTATTATCATTGACAATTCTACTCAGATCTTACAAATCAACATCTCATGTTAGGCTCTCTCTTCCTACTGCCCTCTTTCCAAGCAATATTGCCTTTTCCAATAAGCTCTGCTCAGATTTTGCATACTAATAGTTGTGGCTTCCAATTGTTGAGTCAACTCATTTCATGCTAGGTCTTCCTCTTTTCCTGCTGCTCCACCTCACTTTCCCCAGCAATAGAGTCACGTCTGTATTTCATTATAAATGCATGGTAGGACAGGTTCAATTTAATCACTTTTGCTCAAGTGAGAGTTCAGGCTTGACTTGATCAAGCAACCACTTTTCTGGCTGTCTTTCATATCTGTATGGCTCTCCTCCAATGCCACATTTCAAATGACTTCATTTTTGTTCCTCTCTTCACTGTCTTTTTTTTCACATAGTATGGGTGATTTTGACCTTGGCTTTGAGTGACAATCTTTGCCAACTCCAGCCTCTTTCCTTTTTATTATTATTTCAAAAGGCAAGGAATATCTTTTGGAAAACATGCATAAAACACATCTGTAGAGCTTTTGGTCTGATACTTGTCTTACTTAGCTTTCCTAACTCAAAGAAAGGGATTGGAAATTGGAACATAGCTTTCTAGCCTGCATTCTGTGGAGCAGGCATAACAACATTAGTTTCACTGAGGTGAAAGAGTGTGTAGGTTTCTCAATTGTGCATGCTGTACTTAACTCACATCTTTGCTTCACCATGTCATTATGTCCAAAACAACCATTCCAAATATTTTTCAATAGGACTACAGCCATATGCCAACTCTTTTCCCTTCTATCTTCTCCCAGTAACCATAGTACAAGTCATGTGCTGATCTGGAATTCTCTAGCACTGGTAGTTCTATGTGAGGCAAATTTCTGTTGGAATTTGTGTGTAGTGTATGCATTTTTAAAAGTCTTGTTTTAAAAAGCCAGAACATTCCATTCTTAAAAACTCCGGTTTATGATTGTGGGAAACATTTCATACTTCTTGAAAACAGTCCCGACAATTGCTTTGTTTGGGTAAGAAGTAGTTAACTGATGAAAAAAGGAGTCAACATCTGGGATTTTCCCTTATCACTTTGCGAATGCTAGCAAACACAAGAAAGTGTCCTATAGACCATCTTAACTGCTGCCATTGGTTTTGTCAACACTCAGGCTACTCTTTGCTATGTAAAATTTGGCATCTTTTTTCCTACTTACAATCTGGGCACAATGTTGTGAAGCAATATCAAGCCACTCCTTGGCTTTTAAAATCATTGGTACAGATGAACAATATCCCACATTCATAAAGTGTAGGTTTTTTGAAGAACTGAAGACAGTTGAGCTCTTGTTCCCTGACCAGAAAACATGCAGAGCTATTGACAGATTTTCTCTTTCATGAAGGGACTGTGCAGGTAGACAAGATTCTTCCTTACTGCTAGCTACATCACCCAGGGAATCTGGTGATTCAACTCTTCTGTAAGTTCCATAGTAAGTTGTGGCTTACCAGGCTAAAGTAAGTTGCAACAAGAGCGGGCCCACTTGAATCACTGGAATTTATGGAGGAGTTGACTCACCAAATCCCCACTGATTAATGAGCCTACTCTAGTATGACTTAGTATGCTAAGCAACAGGATTGCAGCCAATGTAGCTAGCTCCAAGCAATCTCTTGTGACCACTCTCCCAGGATGATGATGAACCAGGCACTTCAACACAGTGAGATGTATCAGCACAAATTAGTAGTTATGAATTCTTAGTGTTAACATGGACACAACAGAGCGCATGGCATATTTCAGGTTGGAATGGATAATCAAGTGTTCTAAACCACAAGGGGAGCCTCAGCAAATGGAAAAGTCTCAAATTTTACTGCAGAAACATGTCCTGAACATCTGCAGGGTTGCAAGGAGCTGAATAATCTTAGGAGCAGGGCTAAACATTGAATTCTACAACCCTGCTGTAAGCCTGTTGACTAAGGGTAAGTACTGTAATGCCTGAATAAAGATTAGGCCAATTAAGGGCCTGCGTTGTATATAAACCGGTATTATCATCTGCAGTGGGGCTGTGTGTTAACAATGAGTGGAAAATGTCCGTATGCATGATTGAAGCACAGATTTTTGGTAAATTAAGCAAAAGTATTTTTAAAAACCTTTTCTCTGAAGCACAAATTAACACTCAAGCTTTTTATTTATCATAAACTAAATACACAGAGCATGTTTTGTAGTGGAATTCAAGAACTAAGTCTACATTATGCCAGAAAGAACAATTACAAACTGACTTTATATTTTAGATTATGCAGCAATACTTCACTTCTTGTCATCTGACCAACTAATTTCATAATCTTTATAAGTCCTCTTCAGTATTTCTACAGTCATGGAATGATCTGCTTTACCATATCCCTGTAGAAAAGAAAAAATATTTTTACTAAACACATCTTCCACCTTTTCTCCAAGAATCACAACAATGATGTGAGTCAGGCTATGGTTAGAAGTGACTTAGCCCAGTGTCACTCATGGAGTGTCAAGGCTCAGTGCAGACTTGAATATGAATTGCTAAAGTCCTAGTTCTACATCCAACCACTATAAATCGGGCAGCTTGTGGATTGGGAAAAAGGTTGCCCTTCTGCCCTGGTCACAAGCCATTGATGCACTACTACACCACACTAGCTCTGGATTAGCTACCATATCACTAACAGCCTATTGCATACAGTCTGCTTTTGAAAAAAGTATTTCCAGATATCATTCAGGAAGCTTCAAAACTCGAATGCTCAGAAGGCATTTTGTTGCTATTCCATCTGTAACAGCCAGCTTCAATGTGTGTCCTCTCATTGGCTCTTTAACCTAGCTAATCACAGTGCTTGGAAGGCTATGAGGGAGCTGTGGAGTAAAGGGCAGGGAAGTTGTGTTTGTGCATACTTTGAAGTTGTTAGATAGGAGTTTGATTTCAGACAGCATGGCAACAAAAAGAGTGGATATGGCCAGAGTGAGATGGAGTTGTACAAATTAGTTTAAATATGGAGCATGAAGAAAAAAAAAGCTAGTGACCAAGATTTGTCTAAAATGAAACAGTATTAAAGTTCAGGAGAAATGTGTCCCATAACTGCCTAGTAAGATATGACTATAAGTTCAACTCCATGTGGTTTATGTTCCTTTTACAGCCTTATAAACACATAGTTATGTACTGATGTTAAAAACTGCCAGTGTGTGAAAGAATTTAGGAACTGAGGATTCCTGTTATGCTACCACATAAACCCTCTGCGACACAACTCATACAGTCACAGAATAATTGAGTTCCTATAAAGCAATCAAGTCTACCTCCTGCTCAATGCAGGACCCAAATCAAAGCAGATCTAACAGATGGTTGTCCAAATTTATTTTGAATGCCTCCAGTGTTGGAGTGCTCACCACTTCCCAAGGTAACTGATTCCTGTCATACTGCACTAATTGTTCAGACGTTTTTCCTGTTATTCAGCCTAAATCTGGCTTCCTGTAACTTCAGCTCATTATTTCGTGTCCTGTACTCTGGGATGATTGAAAAATAGAATCTGCCCCTGCTCTGTATGACCACCTTACAAGTATTTGAAAAGTGCTATCACATCTATTCTTAGTCTTCTTTTCTCAGTCTTCTTTTTGTACTCTATGGATGTTTTGCAAATATAAAAATAAAGAGAGAGAGAAAACGAAGGTGTTGGTTCCAAGTTTTGCTTGGAACCACTACTATTAGCTGTAAAATGTAGTGAAAAGGGCAGAGCCATTACAAAATACAAGCCTTATCTGGAAATTCCCAAAGCTGAAGTAGTCTATAGCAGCTTCAGGTAGTATGCCAGCATTGACCTCAACTGTAGCGTAGAACCACTGGTGCTCTTATTTGAACTGCTTGAAATTAGACCACTGACCATGTACTGAAGCTGGTTTCTGTTTGTTTTTGGGTGAGGCAGTTGGCACTGCCTCTTACTGCAAATGATAAATAACCAAAGGAGGAATAAATTAATTGCACATTTAATGTTATTCACTTCCTTAAGTATGAGGAGCTTTGCTTCAGCTTGAGGTTTAGAAGGTAACAACCATCTGTCTGATATACTTTGATTTGGATTCCTGCATTGAGAAGCTTGGACTTTCAAGATGCTTCAGAAAATTATTATTACCTGTATATAATATATAACTCATACTGCATATGAAAAAGCAACTACCTGTATATATTAATAGATGCCCCTCATCGTAGTCCAGATAGGTGGGGTATAAATCAAATAAATAAATATAAATAAATAGTTGTTTATATTAAAATATAATAGTTACTCTTTAAGGTGCCATGTTTTTGTCTTGTTTCTTTGGACTTTGACTTATATGTATATTAATAGTAGGTATTTAATATATTCTCATATGAAACAACAATATAGTTTGTAAAATTGTGCATATGCCTAGACATCTTCTCCTCCAACCTGTGACTTTTCTCAAAAGAAAATAACATACTTTTTTGAATTACTATAATCTCAAAATTGTTAATTATCATATTTATATATTACTTACTGTAGAAAGACCAAATACTCTGATTTTCTTTTCTTTGCTATTATGCTGTATTTTTCCGCCGCCAAGACATTTGCATGTAAAGCCCAGCTTTTCCATTTCAGGATTTAATTTTTCAAATATGTGATCTATAGAACAAAATCAAGTAGAACACCCTATAAGAAGATACCATGATGAAATTGACATATATATTGGAAGCATCAGAAAACATCAGTCCTTACCCATTTGAACATATATATACAAAAAACTCTTAAGCACTAGGTATTTAATGGCTAGAAGTCAGAAATTACTAAAAACCAACACTGACATTCTTCATCTTGCATTTTACTCATACTGAAGAAATATCAAATCCCAGAAATCTAGTGGACAGGCTTAAACTGAAGCCTAGGAAGTTTGTATTTATTTTGTGGATTTTGTGACCTAAGGAAACAACTATCTCAGGAGGGATTTGCTCAATCAACTCCTTTCTAAGCTCCATTGATTCAAATGGGTTTACTCTAGTCCTGACCTGCATTAGTACAAGCCACAACTACAGTAAGCCCATTTTAATCAATGGGATTTATGAGGGAGTTGATTCATCAGGACTACTGTAATTTAATTTACTACACTAAGCAACATAATTTCAACTAATATAAACAATTCCAATATCAGCTCTTTTTTACAACTGTTGATCTAATACTGTAGTGGGCAAAGTCAAAAAACAATGTACAGTATAGCATACTTTACCAGATACAGAGGGAGCATCCTGTATAAACTGGGAAAGAGGTAATATGCCTTGCCTGAGAATATAAACCTTAACCTTTAATTGTTGTTCTCCTATGTCTTTACTTCTTATTCCACTTTAAAGTCTACCTTCCTTACATGTGTGTAAATATACACAGGCACCTATTTCACTGGAACATGAACTGATGTATCCAATGCGCTTGTCAGCTGCAAACTTAGGTGGATGCGGGTTCTTAACTGCTTAGGAAAGAGTGTAAGAGGGACAGGACAATTCACACAAGTATCCAACCATTTCTTGTTAGTCCAAAGAACACATTGGGGGAGGGTCTAATTCTTCTTTACCATTCATTAAGGAGTAGTTTTCAAATTTTCAAATTGCACTTGAGGTGGGGGCAGATTTCATACTGTTCAATTTGAATTAATACATATACCTTGACTTCAGACTTTTCTGACAATTGGAATTGTCAATACACTGTGTTTCATCAACCTTTCTCCCCGCCTTGAAGAATAAGATACAATTCTACAGCTTCCTAGTTATGAGGGTATACTGAAATAATGATAATTCCATGCAGCTCAGTCAGTTCCAATTTTTGGCTGACCCTTCCTAGGATTTTCTTAGTGCACACTACTGAGAAGTAATTTATCATTCTTTTCTTCTGGGGGTGTTCACGGACTGTGCAATTTGCCGAAGGCTGCACAGGCTGGCTCGTCTCCCCAAAAGGTATACCAGGAAATTATAATTATGGCAGTCCTTGCTTTGAGGCCGGCCACATCAAACCCCTCCCCCCACCGTTCTTCCCCCTCTCCCCTTCCCCCAAATGGCGCTCACTGTGGCATTCTGCAGCCGCTGTGCCCCTCACGATATGGCGGCATTCGTCGGGGCCGCGCTGAATCCGAACCAGAATGTATTTGAAAGTGCCATCGGGGTCTATTTCTGTCTCAGCCACGGAGCCCAGCAGCCCCTCGGGCGCCGCCATTACTAAACTTCGTTTGCCCCAAACCAGGGAGGAGATTACGAGGTGGACCGTAACGCGCCTGAGCCAAGCGCGCGTAAACTCCTCGCCTCCTTTTTCGGCGCAGGGCCGTCCCTCTGAAACGGGAGGAGAACGCCAAGCAAGAGGGCCGCGCCGTTCACAACGTGGTCCTTGGGCCACCGTGCTCAGAAGCCAGTCGCTGACTGGGTTGTGGAGTTAAGGCGGCTGGAAAAGACCCCTTAGGCGAGCCGAGACAGCATAAGCCTGCCACGACGAGGCATTCCGTAGAGCTCCCGTTGATTTCAGCAAGCCAGTACTTAAATATCTGCTGTTGAAATAAAAAGGATAAAAGTGCTTAATATTGATAGGATGATTTACATTCCAATATGTGTATTTATTTGTAAAATATTAATTTTCCTCTGCGAAGCTATTCGTGTTACGTATTCAAATTATCGTTTCTTCGAGGAAATCGTAACGGTGCCCATAGTTCTTTCCTGCTGCCTCATTTCCAGACGCAAGGGAAAGAATCATTGCTTCATTCTTCGGTTTTCTTCATGGGGGTATGAGGCTGGATTTCTAGAACGCTCTAAAAATAATGTTTCCAACTAATCCGGTAAATAGCCTAAACTAGGGAGTTATAATGTAACACAGCGAGGTTCGTGGTGTTTGAATGTAGAACCGCCCCTGTTTAAGCCTCATACATCAAGCTTAAAAAACAACCTGCACTAAGGTGTTTTCAGACTTTATAGAAACTCCAGTGTTAGTGGAGTGATGTTTAGGGATTGCATTAGCTTTGTCACTGCTCCCCTCTTTCTTTCTCTGTGCTTTGAAGTCACATATGAATGATAGCAAAAGTTTTCAAGATGTGATATTTAAAGTAAAGTAAAAGGTGGATCCATGAAATCAAGAACATATCCTAATGATTTTATATGATTTTTACTTGGGATCCTTGCCAAATCATCATCAATTATAAATTGCATCTATGCCCACAGACTACAACAAAGAAATCATGGATCTTTTCACACATGACTTTCTAAATCATCATCAATTATAAATTGCATCTATACCCACAGACTACAACAAAGAGATCATGGATCCTTTCACACACTACTTTGTAGTGGTGCAAATACATGGATCCAAGGCACAGATCCACATGATTTCATATGATTTCTAGATGGAATCCTCTCTGTACTACTATCACTTCATAGATACTACCTGTACCTACAGACTATATCACAGAAATTATGGGGCCATCAGTGCATTGAATTCCAGTGGTGCAAAAACACCAATCCACATGATTTTTATATAGGATCAACTCCAAATCACTGTCCAATCACTGTCCCATCTGTGCTCCCAGACTACAACAAAGAAATCATGGGTCCTTCAGAACATAGCTTTGCAGTGGTGAAAAAACCTGGAACCCAGGTGTGGCGATCACCCTGCTTTGGCTCATGTAATAGGTTATTTGCATGTACCAATGAGAGCTGTTGGGAGGCGGAGCCAGGGAGACTACAAAGAAGGGGTGAGTTAGAGAAGTTTGGTCAGTTTAAGTCAGAAAGGAGAGTCTGACTTGAGAAGTCAGTCAGAGTCAGAGATGAGAATCTGAAGCAGAAGTTACTGTGGTAGTTAGAGAGTGTGGCAGAGTTAGGAGTTAAGAGTGTGGAATTTGTAGAGAGCTAAGAGAGTTAAAACAAGTTTTTACTAATCTAATGAATACATTAAAGTCTGTGAATAATCTGTTTAAGTGAACTGTAATCAGTAAACCTAAGTTGTTCAACTTTATACTCAGCTTGGACCTCAGTCTTTCTAGTTAAAGGGTGTTGACAGAGGTCAACTGGTGGCAGCGTAAAGGAGAGAACGTGTCATGGGCCTCAGGCTAGTGAAACAACATGGGGACATGTGAGGGGTGTGTCACGCCAGGTATGGATCCTCATGGACCCACCTGATTTTTTATGCAGCATCATCCCCAAACCACTCTCCAAACATGGACCCCTGTCTGTTTGTTGTTTTGTAACCATGGTTGACAGAATGTCATTTATGGTTTTCCTTGGAGAGATGTGAGCCAGTGATTTTAGGCTTAGAGGGGGGAATTTAGAGGGGGATTTTATAAGTGTTGCTGACAGAAGGCCATTTATGCCCTACAAAGATATCAACCACTGTTTCCAGCCTAGGCAGGAGGAGCAGAAGTTGGGATAGAGCCAGGGAAGTTGGGACTTTTGAAGTTGAGATGGCAAGGATGCAAATATGCTTTGGTTTGTAAACATGGCTGACAGGAGGCCATTTATGATCTAGTTCGGAAAGATATGAGCCAGTGCTTCTAGGCTTAGATGTGGAGCAGAGTTGGGCACAGAGCCAGGAAGGCAGGTACTTATGCATTGGGATGGTAACGCTGCAGCTGTTCTGAGTTTTGCAAGCATGATTGACAGGAGGCCATTTATTGGATACCATGGATTGATGTGAGCCACTGCTTCCAGGCTGGGTAGGAGGACGAGAAGTGGGCCTATAGCCAGGAGCATCTATTACATCCAGTATATATTAAACCACTTCCTACTTTCCTTCATAAATGAAGGAAGAATTCTTTAAATTAGCACAATTCCCACCACAAGAGCTGCTACTGTAGTATTGCAACAACTGACACATAAGACACCCCCTCCCATTTCAATTCCACTGCAAATTCAGCACCACTTGGATGTAGGGAAAATAGTGTTTGTAATAATGGACATGATGGAAATGGATTTTGGTGCCTCACATTGGACAAGGGACTCACATGGTTTTTGATAAGTCATAAAACACTAAAAGGGGAGGGTGGAAAATGCACTGAAATGAATGTTCCAACCATTACAATGGCCACAAGAGAATGGAAGGAAAGCTAGTGGAAGGACTAGAAGGCAACAGATGTTCTCAGCTGATTCTTGGTGGCAAACACCTGAGTCTGAGTTCACCTCACACAGACATCTGCCATAAATTTTTGGACTCTTGTCTACAATTATTCTGCACGGTCCATGAAGTTCTGTTGCGCAGCTTGAAAAAGTGGGATTTCTCCATGAAAGTTTGTAATTTGTTTGCTTTTTTTAGTGGTCCAATAGAAGGTATCACCCACTCTTACACCTTGGGGACCACACAGCCTTTTCCTTGTTCTATCTGCTGGTAAGTGGCAGGAAGGAAGAAATGATAGCAATTCATGAATGGGGTACCATCAATTCTGAGATGACACATGGTGGATAATGTGTGCTAGTCATGCATCCACATAAAGAAACTGACACTTCTGTGGATGCTGTCTGCAGAACTGTTGGGCTGTAAATGCAAGAAATATTAAAAAGAAGAAGAAGACCCAGCAATAAGATGATATGATGATCTAGTGCTAATCTCACATATGAAATTTAAAAAGAAATTAAAAACTCAGAGAATGGTCAGGGGAGAGAAATGAATGTGGGGGGAGCACACCACCTACAGACACACCCCTGTCTTTACAAGAATCTTTGCGGTAGGGAGAACCTGATCAAATCCTTCTGACATGAAAAAGTAGAAGCCCTGTAGAAGTAGAGAGAAAAAAGCTTTGGCAGTAAAGTCTGGAAAAAGTCAAATCAGCCTTGTGCATCATGCAAACAATAAAACACACTTTCAACTCACCCATTTTATATGCTAAACAGCTCTCTCTGTATTTGACCATGCAGTTGCCTCCTAAGTCCCTGAATGTTGTGTAAGTTTGGTTGTAAAGTTTTTAATGTTTTTATTCATTCAGTGTATTTTAATTACTACGTATTATAGTTTAATTATTTTAATATATAATTTATTGTGTTTTTAGTTCTTTTTTTTTACACTGTAAGCCATCTTAAGTCCCCTTGTCGGAGGAAAGGCAGCCTATAAATGAGACAAAGAAAGAAAAAAAAGATCACAGTGCCAGGTAGCACACCCAATTTCATCCTCCAACACCTTGCAGTTGCTTGCTTACCACACAATTTGGCTGCCTCTGTTCTCCAACATATCCCCAGTATCTGGCACCTGAGTATCTAGCACCTGCCTATTCACCTAATACACATACATTGGTGCCTAGCATTACGACATTAATTCGTTCCAGCGAAATCGCTGTAGAACGAAAATGTCATAATGCGAAAATAAAAAACCCATTGAAACGCATTAAACCCTGTTTAATACATTCCAATGGGCTAAAAACTCACCGTCCAGCAAAGATCCTCCATAGGGCGGCCATTTTCAGTGGTTGTTTTGTAAGGAATCCGTCCCAGAAAACAATGGGGAGCCATTTACCCGGCAGCCATTTTGAAACCACCGATCAGCTGTAGGAAAATCATCGTTTTGCGAAGAATCAGTTCCTGAAGCAGGGAACCGATCATCGCAAAGTGAAAAAAGCCTATTCAGACCATTGTTTTGCGATAGCAAAAGCGATTGCAAAAACGTCATCATAATGCAGTTTCGTCGTAATGCGGGGCAATCGTAAAGCAGGGCACGACTGTATAAAGGTCTGCGCCAGACATAATTCTAGAAAGGATAAACATCTAACTCAGACAATCTCTGAGGGCAATGGTGTATGATTTTGGATGTGACAGCATCCTACCTAAAAACAACACTTTGTAATGAACAAAATGGCCTGAATGATTGCTAGTCTCAATTAGAAAAGGCTCAATGAAATGATGACACTCAGAGTCATCACTTGCATAATTCCCCGAAACCTCCATGGGTCTACTCTAGCTGTTCATTGTTATTGTTACTGGACTTTCAGATTGCAGGAGTAGAAAATTTAGGTGAGCCCAAATTTATTGAGCACAGTGCAAACATTCCTTATGTTCCTTTTGCATTCCTGAAGAATAAATTTATACTGTAGAGGGAAGTGGATGACTAGCAGCATGTGGAAAATGCTTTGTAGCAGTTAAGAATTCCCCTTTCTCAAGGGAATTCTGAGCAGGCCATTCATGGATAATTTTATTCCTATGTTCTGTTGCCCAAATAGTCCCCAGACACTTGGTAACAAAGCTAAGTACAATGGCTTTTAGAAAGCAGTATGCAACTCTCTATAGAGAGTTCATATTTATTAACTGTCCTGCATTAGAATAAGGAAGTTTTCTTTGATCATTGCACCCAAGAGACTTGTTTTTTGCTCAGCAAGACAGCTAAAAGAACTCCTGTTCAAAGAAAAGGAAACACTAATCGCTCTTATTTTAAACTGAAATTCAAGTGATTGCTCAGTGACTAAGAGCTACCTGGACAGAAGGTCACTGCAGCTGGACTCACAGGATTTCCACACATACAAACAGTCATATTTGGTGAAATGGAGAATTGTTGGATTATTAT